CTGCTCTGTCCCATTTTCAGGCAGGCCACCCACAAATACTGTTTTGCATCCTGGTGGTCGTTCTCGGGTTGCAGGAGGTGGAAGATCTAAATGTAAGTGAAAAAGCATTTGAAATTAAAATGTGTCCTTGAGATAGACCTCTTCGAAACCTAACATATCCCAGAGATAGCCTTACTGCCCCCATCAGACTTTTGCTGAAAAGTGCCAGAAGCAAGTAACTCCAAGGTGCTCATCTCTGCTCCACAGAAAATTGATTGCATGAACCTGAAAATCATTTTATTCAATGGTTTGGTGCCCATAATGGCTACAGGATATAGACTCAGACCTGTTTGTCTGTTCCATGCAGAGCTTTTCAGTTACGTTCTTTACTTTTGTTGTGACAACCAGCTATTCTTGACTTTCAGTAATTTTTATTAAGAAGACAGTTCTTTGGGTGAAATAACAGTTTAAACTCTTTGTTTCAGGAATTCTCAGAACCAGGGTCCCTGAGACAAGAGTTTGTATAATTCAGTTTGTAGTTACCATATTCTCTCTGTTCATCCTTACTGAAAGAACTGTTTTAAGATTAATTTGACAATGATGGGGTGAACATTTACAAAAATAGTTATAGATCTCAGAATGATTTGATTGACAATGTCCATCAGAGTAAAAATGATCTTTTTAAGTTTTTTTGTTTTGTTTTGTTTTGATACCAGTGAGCTCTTCCTCAAATTCCTTGATGGAGAGAGCTGAGATCGAGAGCCAACCATACAGCATTTAGAGGAAACTATGAAAGAAGAAAAAGTAAACCCACCTGGGAAATCATTAAAGTGGCATAAACTTGGCTATAGACAGACATTATAAACCTGCTTAATGAGACGATGTTCTCGCTGCTTTAAAAAAAATGGGCATCCTACTCACTCATTTTATAGATGAAGCCTGTTGTATCTTTCAGCTCCTTATTGCTATTTATATGTTTCAAAGCATTTTCCAAGCAAAATCCCACAGTTAACAGTCCCCAATACAAAGCATGATGGTCAAGGGTTTTTCTAGTGTTGTTTTTGGATCTGCAAGGATTTATTTTGTGTAATCCGTTCTTTCCACTTAGCTCTTAACAATAATTCTTGCAGCTCAAGATTTGGAGAGCTCAACAACCAGTGATTACAGCTCACATATAAAAATAAATGAGTCTCACTTATGGATTAAGTCCAGGCCCCCATCTGGCTTTTATCCAAGTTAGCAAGCAGGTGATTTTGGAGCTTCCTTGGGTATCGGCATCTCTAGCTTTGTCATTTTGCTACTGCTGTCTGTCTTTTCAGTGTGGCTCAGAATAATCACGCTCTCACGA